ACTTGTATCAAGTTAGCGATAAAATATCTATTCAACCATTAGGCAAACGAAAAGCAAAAGGGCGTCCCAAGAACGTTAGCATAGCTTTAAATTTGTAAATAGATATAAATAAAACTGTCAAAATATTCTTCATTTGTTTAATATTTCAACGAATATGTTTGTGTTGTACATTATACTTTATTGAGAAATAAAAATGTGAGATTCATGCTGGAAAATTTGATGATCAAAAGTATCTTTTATTCGTGTTCATTTGTATCTAAAAATATTTGGTAATCAAAAGTACATTTGTTTATATTATCCGATATGATTTTCATGTGAGGAGTATAGAGTAATATAAATCAGATATGAGGAAAAGAAAAAAATATGTAACAGAGAAACAAAAGTATAGTTTATGCATGCATCTTAGTTCTCTTACGAAGTGAAGAAATTCGAAATTCAAACAAAATGTTGTAGTGGTTCAAATGAAAAATGAGCGATTTCGAAGATAGAACGATCGCTGCCACTATAATCGACAGCGATTCAAACAGTCGGTAGAAGTGACAAAGATGACGTGGATTATGACATTAGCGATATTCTTAATCCCCTTTTTACTAAAGAAGCCGAACCTTGCTTTAATTTTTCTTAATTTTTTTTATATAGATATATATATTGCGTCAATAGACTAGAGTTTCGTTTTTAATTCGATTGTCTGTCTGCAGGTTCGGTTTGGCAAATGAACAGGGAAAAAATCATTTACAGTTCGCTCAGCTGAATTATAATTGTCAAGCTGGGATTTATGATCCCTCAACTATTTTAAATTTTCACCCAGAACATAAATTGTTATAACTAGTTGGAGTTATAAATACTTATAAATCATGGACTCTTAAACTCGTCAATGGCAGAAACACATTTAAAATGAGCAGATAGTAGTGCCATTGAAGAACCCAAGCTTGGTGCATTAAGGATCATCCTTTCTACCACAAAAGATACACTGCAATGTATCTTAATTCTATTAAAATAGAATCATGGAGCTGTTTGCCGATAAAAAGTATCGCATCAAGGTTTAGTATCTTTTATCTGTTTTACCTTGTTTTTAGTGAATATTTTCATATAGTTCCACCCAGATACACATGAGCTGAGACCCGGTAAAATGAGACTCAGTTTGCAGTAATAGTGAATTGAAATAAAAATCCCCTGTTGTCCCCGCAAAAAACCATGTGGAACAGTTTCTCAGGGATTTTTGCTCTACTGTCATCGAAATGTGTTGAAATATATATTATTTTTATGTCAAATCAAAGTTGAAGGAATGTTTATTTGAATGATATAAGAACGAACTCGATACCATACTTCCGTAACTATGAAGCCAGATTTTCAAAAGTGATAAGTTGCCGGAAATGTAAAATTCGAGCAGATTTTATTTTTCGTTTATTTATATATGGTTGGATGGAGCTCGATGATCTGATCACGAATATGTGGTTTTTACCTTTTTTGGTCAAAGTTTTAAAGGAAAAAAATTGAAAAAGCTCGAAGGATGTGAAATTTCGAAAAACAGCTTAATTTCAAAAATTTCAAAGTTTCTTCATTTCTTCTAACTTTTCGAAACTATTTTTTTCTGGTTCAGCATTAAAAACCGAATATGAGAATGATGCTTGATCGAGGTTGAAGCCAACGATCTATCCAGTATGACTGTCGTTTTTTTTTGTTGATTTTTCATGTTTTGGTGACTATTTCAGTAATTTTTTGACAAAATTCAAAAGATAAGATGTAATGGTCCAGTCTGAAAGGATAAAAACACTACATCATTCGACTCATTTTTTTGCAACTATGTTCAACGTGTTTTTTGCGGAGATGACTGTTTTTACTTCAATTCACTACTACTAGGAAATCTATACAAAGAAACTTTCGGGGCTCGTATGTGTGTATAAAGTGGGCGAAACTGTGTAGAAGTATTCTAGTATAAATACCGTATATATTGGTGAAAATGGCAGCGCAGCATACTTAAAAAGTTTTCATTCTTTTTAGAAAAATGTCTCCACTCTGTAACTGTATGATTTTCTTTTATTGAAAAAATAAAAAATTGTAAATGTCAACGTTTTCTGTTGCCGTAGATTCTTATGATAATATTTTAGTATAACTATGATGCACACAAAAGCTAGATTAAAAGAACCATTTTTTTGAATATATTCATTCAATTTTAGGCTATTATTATGAATAAATAAAGATAAAATATTTTATGATAGACATTCAAATACTTATAAGGATCCTTCAAAAATCAACGTTTTTTGCGACATATTTCATATGTTTTTTTCTATAGAAACATCTGCTATAATCTTGGATATTGAATGGCGACAAGCGACTGTTTTCATCTTTGTTCTATTAAATATTTAATGGTGTGTCTTTTATTTTAGGATGCATAATTTTAAATGTAAAAATAGATTAAAAATGACTAGAACCGTTATTTAAAACATAAAAAAGTTAAATTTCAGCTAATGTACTCAATCCAACTGTTTTTTCTCGTAATTGTTCAATTTTATTGTGATTGAATAATAATGATTGCTGCTGTTCTTTTAATACCCACGTATTCTGTTTTGTTTTCGGTTTTTCTGGCTCAAATTGTTTTCTAATTTGTTCATAACAGGCTGTATGCATATTTTCAATTGCTTCACGTTCTTCTTCCTAGCAAGAGAAACAACAAAACAGAGTGATAGATCAAAATTTGGAATACCTGTTTTTCAGGAGGAAAATATAACCTTTATTTTAAAAAGTGTTTAAGACTCCTTTCCCTCGGGTCAGAAACCTATCTCAGCCAAGGTAGATCTGATATCAACCAAACTTTTTGGGAATGTTGACAATATCAAAGTCTTGTAACGAAATTTTTTGTTTGAGCATCACTTGCAACTGTGAGAGGCCGTCACAACAAGAATCCAAAGTAAGCGTCTACGACATGCAAGAATTCTCATTCCAGGTAAATGAAAGAGAACTCTGGCTTTTTTTGTTTTGCAGTAAACACATATGGCTAGGAGTTGACAGAATCCGATTGTTGAATTTCTCATTTACTGATTTCTGATACCTAATAGAATTTTAAAGTCCGACAAATCCTTGGACGGTTTCTTAGAAATTCTCATTTTTATAGCGTTTGAGCGTCACATAATTTGTTGATAATTTGCTATAGGCTATCGGTCATGGCGGATATAATGAAAATGTGTGGCACATGCATGCGCTTATGAAATGCAAGTGCAGAAAAGCCATTTTTGTTGTTGTAGGAGTTCTGAAAAACTCGCTTAAAAACCATGAAAAATCTATCCTATCGACACAAAATTATGCCATTAGAAAATAGATACTTTGAGCTATCCAATTAAGTGTTTTTCTCAGAATCGATATCAAACTATGGCCCGATAACGGGCTATGCCTTAAAAAATATTCTTATATATAATGATCTTTTCAAAGAAATCTCTGAATAAAAAAGAAGTATTTCCTACACTTGCAAGATATATACTCAGCATACCGTTTGTCCTAGACGAACGATCAGTACATTTACTCCATTGGCCATTTTCTTTGAATAATTTGATTGTTGTAAAAGTCGTTCTTCACGTGATACGCCTTGTTCAACGACAAGCATAATTTTTGCCCACTTAAACACAAAAAATTGATTGAAAAATGAAAAATAATCTATAGATATAAACTTACTTGTCTAAGCCATTCTTTCTTTCGTTCGTTGACCATTGCATATGTATTACCCATCATAGCAATTAACATATTTACAAGTAGTACAGCTGCTGTGATAATATATGTCACAAATAAAACCTAGACAGACATTATGAGAAAATTATACAAATTGTATCCATATTATCGTTTTGAAACTTACTTTTGCAATAATTTGTATACCATGATTTGGATGTTTTGCAAAATTTTTATATGCATCTGAAACTTGTTGCAATGTAACACAAAACATTCGAAAAAATGTTCCGATATTTGTTTCGAAATCATTTTCACAGTGAATACGAACAAATAAAACGTGTAAAGCTATAAAATAAAAAAATACAACTTCAATTGTTATTTGACCATAATTAGTTCTCTAAAATTACCCTGAGAAAAACCGGTCATAAACACCACAAATATGAGAAAAAACCGTAATAAATCACCTCGAATCATTGTATAAATCATCACTACAAATGGACCAGTCGAGCGAAAGCCTCTAAAATTTAGAAATATAATATTCTATTGGGAATTTTTTCCACGTAACGTACCGACAGAAGAAGAAGAAATATGGTGCTCGAGTTAACATGGCAAATACACATAATATATCATCAGCAGAATAGGAACATGTTAATCGTGCTGGTATAAGCGAGATGGTTAATAAACAAGAGAATAAAAATAAAACACGTGTCGGATCGTTGACATAGATAAATGAATCCAGTTTGAAATGTTGATAACTTAATTCACGCACAGTAAATATCAAATAAGTCACTGCACCAATGATCGATAACGAATCAAATATTGTTAGCGCCTAAGTGGTAAATCAAAATTTAACTTTTAAAAACAATTGTATTCTTTTTTAACAATGACAAGAGGACTTCTTTCATTTTCCATTACAGACTTTGACATTTTTTTGCCTAACACATGTATCAGTATATATTCTATTGTAAACCATAGAAACTCATCACTTTGATTTTGAATTATGTGTAGAGTCATCTGGGTAATTTCGGTCAGCGTTAAAAATTTTCTCAGACTTTTGCTGATAGCGAAGTCATTCATAACTTGAGAAAAATAATTTTTATACAAATAGATACAGCTGACTTTTGCCTATGGATTGATGAAAAAATTATGTTCAAATTTATTAAGATTAATTAGTTCTAATCAATTTCCAGACGTTTGCTACTAAATGACCGGGATTACTTCAAAGGACATATAAAAAAATGTCCTTTCATTTCTCTAAATTTTAATTAACTAATTAATAATATTTGCAACTGAGCTGCAAATTACATAGGTAGATAGATCTCATCATTCTGCATATAACGGTGTCAGCTTTAATTAGAAAGGTTAAAGTTTACCGTTGGAAAAAAGTAAATTTTGGATCATCTATCTATTCGTATAAAAATTATTTTTCTCCAGTTATGAATAACTTCGCTATCAGCAAAAGTCTGAGAAAATTTCTAACACTGACCGAAATTGTCTAGATGACTGTATATACTCTGTATAGATGCAGTTGACCCGTTTAAATACATGAATATAGAGCTGACTTAGATGTTTGACATCTTTCAGAGATCTATTCAGTCGAAATTGTGTAAAGATAAAGTGAAACAGATATCTCATATGCTGTGAAATAGAACAATACGCACATATGGCAGTAGATAATTATTGTTTTTAGCATTGTTGTCATTATAACTATTATTTATACTGCTACGAATGCTAATCTGTTCGCCATCGCCAAATATTCCACTATTGAAAAAAGTGTTGTTCATAGTTTTATCAATCGGTCCTTTGTTTTTAAATAAAAAATTGATATAATGACATTGACATGATAAATTTTGTACGATAAGTGCTTTGACATCGTTGTCTTGTTTATCTATTAGTTGATGAACGATACAGGTGGATGGAATACGATAAATACCACGAATAAGCATTGCAATTGCACCAATGGCAAAATATAATGCAAATATAGCCATTCGTTGAAAAAATCTAAACGAGATGGAGAAAATATGTTTATTCTTGAATAAATAGGAAATATGTATTCTTGAGTTTGAGAATTTTACTTGAATTTGATAAATGTTCTCCATTTCTCGACAAGTAATTGAACAATTAAACCATCCATCATATCCAGATGACCAGCTGATTCCTATACAAACAATTTTTATATACAGAATTCATTTGACTGATCAAAAAATTATGACTTTCTTGGTATGTTTTGAAATGAAAAGGTACTAACAGAGATTTTCACTACAAAGCCATAGCAAGATATTTCTAAAATAAGTTAGCTTACAACTGACGAGATTTTTGGCAGACAAATACTAAATTTTAGCACTTAAATTATCTTTCAATGTAATTAAGCGGTAATCGATACTGTACTCTATAAGTAACTTACTCCTCGAACTATGATATTCAATGCACTTGTGTCATTCATCGATCCATCTTTTCCAATTGTATCGATATCTTCTAACGGATAACCGGCACACGTTACATTACCATATTGCCAATAAATATCACGTGATTTTTGTAAAATATGATCAAATAGCTCAAAGGTAAATGATTAAAATAAATAAATGGAAAAAAAGATATAGACACATACATCTTTTTGAGCGAGAACGGCTGCTAATGTAAGTGGTGTCAAACCTTGACGATTTTTAATATCTAAATGTCCACCAAGTTCATAAAGCAAATCAAACATGGCCTTAAATAAAGAAAAAATATTTATATTTTTATTTATTATATGATATTTTCAACAGTTTGATGCACATCTTTGTACTTTTTTTCATTCTTACTTTTTTGTTATGAATAACACACATGTGCAATACGGTGTTTCCGTTTGAATCTTGACAGTTTGGATCGGCTCCTTTAGCCACTAACAAACGCACCGACTCTTCTTGCTGTAAAACAGCTGCAAACGATAATGGATATTCCCCAAAATAGCAATAACTGAAAAAACAGAAACAACTTATCTAAAATACAACATAGTGCACCCGATTCGAGCCCATTTACCCTTCATAATTTGTAGGTATGCTAACATCTGGACATTCTTTTGTGAAATTATCTACTCGACTCGACTTTTGATCTGCTGGACAAAAAAATACGCCACAACAACGTTGAGTAAAATCAACGCCATTGTCAAGTAAAAATTTAACTGTGGCCGGTTCTTCATTAACTATAGCTATATGAAGCACATTTTCACCTGAAAAAAGTAATATACGCATTCTATCTCAAAGTTCAATCAATCCATTTACCATAATATTCATCATCAATATAAATATCATTGATAAGATTCGGAAAGTGTCTAATTAAACGTTTGGCTAATGCTGAATGAACAGTTGTTGAATTCAAAAAACATACATGAAGAATAGTTTCACCAACACCACCTCGTTTATCCAAATCCCAACATACACGTTTTGTTAATTCACCTAAATAAAGACTAAAATGATAAGTAATCGATAATAGTTGTCATTCTTTCCATTTATTTGTTCTTCATCTACTGGCTTGGATGCTACGACCGCCTTCAGTTTGTTATATGTACGATTTCTTCGTTTAATTAACTCATTCAGTGGTACCTAATATTAAATATCTTATAGCGATGATAATGTTAGAAAAAAGAGAAATATCTTACACGCTTTCCATTTCCACCATTGTACAGAAATTTTGATACGTCATCACGGATCAATGCATCAATTTCTGTATAGTTTTTTGTTCGATTTGCAATACGCATTACGTCAACCAATTCACCACCTCCCTGAAGAATATAGAATCCATACTTCAATAGACATATTTTGATCATCAGAAACTATAATAGTTAACGAAGATCTGTTTGCTACTCTATATTTTAATCAGATACATAACCTTTAAATTAACGAATCGATAGAGTTCAGGTGCTTGACCGCCAGTTTGTATTTGAGCTTTCACTCCCGATGCGACCTCACTTCCTGTATTGCCCATAGTTTATCAATTATTTTCTATAGTAATGTTTAAATCAACTTTAGTTAAATTATTGGATATATTTGTTAACAAAATTGAAGAAGAATATAAAAGATTAGTTTTCTTCTTACACATCTATCGTTCGAGTACGAGTGTAATTTTATCGTTTCCTGAATTGCTTTCTTTTTTGTTCTCCTTGTTCTTTATTTAAGCAGCTTTGGTAGATTTTATTTTCATAATAAACGGATTTTTTTTTTGTCTGATTAATGGTTCTTGCAAAAGAAAAATCATCATCGTTTCTCGATATTCAACTTTACTCATAGAATTTTATACCAATTTGTAGCTCATTGTCTTCTCTTTCAATTGAAAGTAGAATGTAAGAAAATATACAACAAAATTTGTCTAGAAACATTTTTGTTATCCGTTACCATTCTATTTGTGTGACGGTTTTAATTTTTTAAAAATAGCCTAATTTTTTCTTTCGAAAGAACTATTAATGAGACTAAAAAAAAAACTCCCATTTATTACGTTTTCGAAATAAATATAATAGAACTGCTTAAAATAGAGAACAGAAAGAAGAAGTTAGAAAATGTACAGATCATTTTACTCATAGAATAAAACAAATTTGTTTGTTTGTGTAGAGCTTTATTTAAGAGAAAGCGGGAAGACTGGTTCACCACTTGGGCACTGTCGGTCTGAAGATAATTTAATACAATGACTAGGAGATTTTATAAAAACTACTTATGAACGTACATTTAAAAATAGAATAAATACAGGCTACAAATTATAGTGTCTTTAAAAATATCATCTCTCTTCACTTCATTCTAATAGAGATTAGGCATTTACAATACAGAAAAACAAAAATAAAAAAAAAAATAAGGGAATCATGTTGACCACACAAAATCACAGAGAATATCAAAAAACGTTTCGTTTTTACTTGATGCAAACTTTACAATTCTTTTGTTAGATCTACCTCTTGGTAGCCATTTTATACAGTATTTCCTTTGATAGTGTGCAAAGAAATTGTTTACAATGTTTTTATTCAGCAGTACACATTCTAAGAACTCATGCTTGTACAATTGAATACTATTTAGCCTTTTATCCAGACATTTTTTATATTTTTCCTCTATAGTTGGGAGAGCAAAAGTGGAATGTAAATCAGTAGTTGGGAAATTCAATTAATCAATGATCAATTAATGGAATTCAATTCATTCCATTAATATTCTTTCTTAATTCGTTTCATCTCTTCTTCATTTTATAAATAGCAGTTCTTTTTACATCACACAACGTTTATTATATACTAATTTATTTTAAATTTGAAAAAAGAGAATTCAAATCAGAAGCAATTGTACACGACAAATAAACAAAACTAATTTTCTAAATTCTTTCCTTTAGTGTATAGAGACAAATTGATGAAGGTTTTGAATTTCAGTCATCGATATTCATAGTCAAGAGGCATACGTCGAGTAAGACGGTAAAATAATTCTTTTATATCGATCGAGTCGGATGCAGAAAAGATTCAGATCTCCAGTCCAATCGGTTCAATGGTGAGTTCATACAAAAAACTAAGAGGATATTAACAGTTTTGTATTTTTAATTTGATCAATTCAGAATAATTTTAAAGCACTATTTTTTCTTCTATTAGCATCCATGTCAAAGCATTTTATCTCATGTTTATTTTTCTTGCTGTATTAGACTTTGCTGGACTAATAATTTTAACGAACACTGTTTATTATGACAAATCACCTTATGTTAATACACAAAATATTTCTGGTAATTATTCGTTGAAACAGGATAATTTTGACACCAGCTTAACATCGTGGAACACAAATCGAATGGAAGCATGCAGTTGGCCAATTGACTCAACATTAAATATTCAAGATATAGTGCTTTTAGCATTATTAACCCCCTAGTTCACTTACCTTAACGAAGTCCCCGGTGAGGCCTGGAAAAGATGTAAAATCCTTCGTGAGCCTCCGAAATAACGTGAAATCCTCAGGGATGGAGTTTCGCCTGAGAATCGTCGTCCTTAACTCGTCGTTTCGACGTAAGTTAACTTCTGAGCCGAGTGACGCGTCCACTGGGCGGCTCAGGTCAGAAAGAATTTTGGCAAGAAAGTGGTAGTTTTTCTTATACAAAATAAATTTCAATTTGATAAAAAATCGATGAGAAAAAAGCTAAATTATAATTTTAAGCCTACGCTTAAAATTGAGTACAGGAGTCGTATTCAGCATTTATTCGTTTTTGGGAACTTCCTGAGAAATCCTTAGGGACTCACTCTAAACTCCCTGAGGAATCCGTTAGGTGCTTCCCTGGAGATTTTCTTCAGAGACTCCTTGAGGATTTTTCCAGTGAACGTGGACTAGGGTCTATATGCCAACCAATCAGCTAAAAGCAGATTTTGAACATTTATTTCCGTCTGATTTTCAATTATGTCCCCATAATAGTACATGTTATAATTATCAAGCTTTAGGTTTTGATAGTGTCACCTATTCTACTATCACATGCCCACCTGTTAATGTATGTATGTTATAAACTGTTACTCCATTTTGAATATCGTAATCTGACAACGAGCGATCATCTAAAAGTTGTTAAATACCAAACATTGTTGATCTGAGGTGATATTTTTCCTTTGTGTTGAATTTTTTCCTTTTTATATTCGCAATTGTACCGTAAATAGCCACGGGAAGCAAGAAAAATGCATCGAACAAGCTGGTAATTTTTATTTCATCCCACTAAACAACGGTTCATTGGCTAAGATTAATTGCAAACGGTGGCAAAATCAAAATTTATTTTTTCAATTTTACTTATAAATCAGATTTTAGCAATTCATATAATTCAGATTCTCTTGATTTCACTGCATTTCTTTTTACTTTCTCTGTTCGAAAAAGCTTTCTGTCAACAAAGAAAGATAGATAATTTCAATGTACAAGTACTTTTCAAATCATTACTAAAGATTTGCCGGGTGCAAGCTATTTTTACAACCCTGAAATCATTAGGAATAATGTACCAGAGACCGAAATGGGTCAACCAAACGTAACCCGAACCCGACCCGACTCAAAATCAATACCTTATACTTTGGTCCGAACCCGTCTCCACCCGAAGGGATCCGAAAAATTTGCAACTCTGATCCGAACTAGACCCGAAACATGAAAGTATTTTCCTACACATTCAAATGAAAGTTATTTTATTATGGGCAGAGGAAAGTGAGATCATGTTCTTGTTAAAATAAGCAGAAGGAAGACTACTAGGTGAGTGTAGAGAAGAGAAGATGTGAGTAAAAGGATGACGTTGTAAGTGAATTGGTCTTTTCGCAAAGAAACACTTCTTTCCTATAGAAAAGTTATCTTAGTCAGATTGTTTTGAAATTTTTTCAAAAAAATGGTCAGATTCCTTCCGGTTTCCGTCATTTTTTCCTTTTATGAGTAGAAAAGTTTGGGTAGTTCAGGCAGTTTATTGTATATTGACCTGAGTTAGGTCGAAACTGGTCAATCAAATGCGACCCGAACCCGATCCGACCCGACCCGATCCGAACGACGGATCAACTCACTGAAAGCTGGCCCGATCCAACTTAATATCTTTTACGTTGGCCTGAATCCGACCCGACCCGTTTCAGTCTCTGCAATGTTCAGCTGTGCAGTCTTTTCTTATAAAAGGGTATGTTCTTTTACTACCTGAAATGAACATTTAAATGAACAATATTTCCAAATCGCTTGTTTATTCGTAAGAAACTTAAAAAAATATAAGCAAATAATGACATAAGTATTTTAAAAAGATTGTTTACAGTATATACAGACATGATAAAAACAACAATAATTAGGAATGTGGTAAATTCGTAACTCTAAACAGAGCATTCAAATTTCTGTTCGATAAAAAAATTTGTTCAAAACTACTCATATAACTATTCAAAATTTTTTACGCACAAAATAAAATAACAGAATAAAAACAAATAAATTATCATACATATTGTATGAGACGGTTTAAAAAATGCCAAAAATAAAAATCAGACGACTAGATGATGATGACTTTTTAACAACTGTTCTGTATCTTCTCCATCAGAATTTTCAAACTGTTCAAATTGTGTATCTTTATCATCAAGATACTGCCCTGGTTGGTTGTCAGGTAGTGTCCTCAAATGTGCTGATTTCGCTAATGCTCGTAGATGATCGAATTCAGCAGCGCCGGTTTGTCTCACAAGATCAGTTAGATGAGACGTGGAATTTTCCAATAAACTGTATGGTGAATCACATTCAACTAATTCACCCATGTTCAGCACCTAAAAATAAAGAAAAATTGTCAAACTAAGTTTCATTAAGCAAGACAGAGTTGATACATCTGTCTGCTTTTCCCTATACATCTGGCCGGACTTTTCTTCGAGATGTGATCCGTCAAAGTCCCTTTCCTTCAAAGATATGATAAACATATAAACAAAGGTTTTGGTTATTTTTTAGGAATTTTGAAAAACTTATTTTCCAGGAATTCGGTCTCTGAAGACCTATAGGCCAAAATGATTGTTATATTTGGAATCAGCATAGTCGATAACCTATAACCCACTAGGTTTTAGCCTAAAAGCGATTTGCAACCTGGTGAGGTTCTCTCATTAGATAACACCCAAACGCTTCTTTTCCATATCCATTCCATATATCTATCATAGTGGCTAGTTGGGAAACGTTGATCATAGGAGAGAGTTAGTAGTAAACCACTTGGCCGTTGACACCGCTCTTTCAAATAAAAGTAAAGTCGTTGGAGGGGACAGAACAGTTTTTTTTTGTTTGGAGCTATAACTTTGTTCTCCATTTTAAGGCGGTTCGAATGGCGTCAAATTCAAGTGTCTAGCGCTTTATGGAAACGACTTGATGCCTTTTTGAGCAAGGGTGCTCCTATTTGAGCACCTTTTGGAAATGAATGTTTTTGAATGACTTCTCGCAACTCAGAAAAATCGAAATACACTTTTCTATACCCACTGTCATCTACTGTTTCCGAAAATAACATTCGAAAGGTTCGGTGACCTTCTGCAGTTAAAATATTGCGTGTTTTCTAAAAAGTCGAAATTTTTCGAAAAAACGGAGCCTTACTATTTTTCGATTTTTTTCGAAGAAAACGCGCACTGAAAATTTTTTAACTATGATATTCGTGATCAGCGTAAAATTCTGTGTTGAATGCGGTGTATTCGAGGCAAAAATAATATCTTGCTCGTTCTTTGAATTAGCGGAACCTTATATTAACACCATTCTTTTGTCTTCTGTTTGAAAGGGTATTGAAATGAGATATCGAAAAAAGACTTTAGAACTTTATACCATAATTCTATCGTTGTCAAGTACTGTTCTTAGTCGATGAGCAATTGTCAGCACTGTACAATGTTTAAACTTCTCTCTGATGCTATTTTGAATTAATTCATCAGTCCTATAAAATGAAAAGAAAATAATAGTTCATTATAAATAAATGGTGTGTGAAATACATACGCATTATCAACATTCGCCGTTGCTTCGTCTATAACCAATATTTTGCTCTTTTTTAAAATTGCCCGTGCCAAACAGACCAGCTGTTTTTGTCCAACACTAAAACGCGATATGTGGCACATACTCATTAAGTAGATTATTACTAATCTAATGGTGTTAAGTCTGTGTACCTTAAATTCGAACCACTTTCACTAACAAGAGATTCTAAACCATTCGACATATTCTTTTCGACAAATGGTTTTAATTGAACCTTAAAAAAAGACCGAACAAATCAATAAACGACAAAAATATATATGTAACTCGTTTACAGTTCTCAGTGGAACTACTTATAAGTTCCGATGTACAACATGAAGTTCTTTCAAAATCTAGTATGATACATTACAAGTGTAGTGAAAGTCACGATGAGAAATTGAATGTCCGAGACTCGTGGAGGTTTCACAAAAGGTTTCGAGGACATCAGCAAAAAATCTTTTCGATAATCTGGGTTTTGAAGCTTGAACAATATGATTTGTCTTCATGGATAGGTAGTCCAGAGTGTTTTCTTCAAAATGGGAATCTTCCAACTTCTTCTTCTTTTATCGTTTAGGAGTCACATCGGATTTCATGGGAACGCAGAATCGCTTTTCGATGATTTTTGGCAACCTCAAAAATGACTGAAACATATGTTAATCGGTTACCCTGAATCTTGTAGCAATGTTTTTTCTCAGAAAAAACTTCGAAAACCGACTTCCAATCTGCGTTAGGTGAAATAACCCATTTTTGACTATTTTCACAGAAACGCAAACGTTTTCATAACTCAGTCAAAATCGATCGAGACCACTTCAGAACGTCAATATATACTCTATTTTATGTCCACTGTACCCTGGAATTTAATAAAAGTTTTAAAAATCAATAAAACTACTTAGGTTTCCAAAAGATTTTCTAGAAATCTTTGGAAGTAAGCAAATACTTTTTACTAATCTTAACTGCAGAGTCAGATTGATTAGATTAAATCGAGTAT